TCCTGAGGTCCCTTCCAATCCCACCAGTCTGCGATTCTGCTCTTGCTCTCTCCCAGCACTGAAGGCAGGGAAGGGGATGCTCCCAAAGCTGCCTGGTCCAACCCTCGTCTGATGATTTGCAATGTCTCAGTAATTATCCCAGTCCCCTCCTTTCTGAGGGGGTGGGAACACGCCTGCAGCACTGCAGGAAGCCGGCAGCCTCACGCCCAGTCTCCAGTAACTCTGTACTTGCTACGCGACGGTGGAGGGGAGAAAATCAGCTTCTCAGCACAGCTCAAGCACAACCTTCAGTAAAACATCCTGAGGCAACACCAGGGAAACTACTACAGCACTAAGCCTCCAAAAAAGCGAGGCAGCAGGAGAAAAGCCCTGTTTCGGGGAGCCTGGCACTGCAGACAGCTCTGTTTCATCTAACGGAGACTCTCCTTCAACACCTTCCAAACAGGAGAAATAAGGTTTGGGTTTCTTACCTCAGGAAGCTGTGCCCGTATATCTTCTGAGCCTATGAATATGCTCTCCAGGTGAGACCAGGTTCGCTGCACTTCGAACCAGAGAGAAATGACGGAGTCCATGGTGGACAGCTTCCTCTGCCACGCAGACACTTCCTCCAAGAAGAAAGCAATATATTTGGAAATCATTAAATTCTGCAGCTGCACCTGGTTGTCTTCTAAAGTTTCGATGAGTTCCTCATCTGACTTCAGCAATGGTGTGCTCGTCCGGGGATGAGGCTCATACTGAAACTCCATGGTGCTCCAAGTCATTTTTAGCTCCTTCAGGACCTTCTCCATACTCATTTCTCGCACTGCTTTGTCCACAATGCCACGAACCTCATCCTCAAAGTTATGCAGGTTGAGCTTCAGGAGGTCAGCCAGCGTGGTATCCGAGTCCATCACAAACCTCACACCGGTCACCTGCACCAGTTGATTCCAGTGTCTTTCTCTAATGGCAGGATTTTGAAGTTCTGCCACAGCTTTCAGAGCTGTCACCATGTTCTTCACCTTGCTGTCCAGTCCAGTGAAAGCATCCCACGCCCTCATTTCCTTATCCAAATTCCGAACTTCTCTTGCAAACTTTTTACACTCCAAATCCAAGTTTTCCACATTAATATCCACCCATTTGGTGGTCTGCCAGTCATCAAGGCTCGTGTTCACCAGGGTGATCATATCCCAGAGCTCTTTGAGAAGACACAGCTCCTTTCTGCACTGCTTCAGTTGTTTATAATCCGGCACCATGACTTCAAACAGACCAGCTGATTCATAAATTGAGGTCATGGCTGACTCCATTTGTTTAATCTCAATGTGCTTTGCATCCAGCAGTTGATAAGGCTTTTCAGCATCAAACCTAGAAAGAGATGTTTATTCTCCATAAGTGATATTGTAACAGTTTCCAAAGAGAACATAAACCAAACAGTGCTTCTAAGAGACAAAGCAGAGATGAAACGTCCCGAGCACACACGGAGGGTACAGCCACGTGGCACTACTGTCACCACCTTCAAGTGATATTGTGCCCTCAGCATCCAAATCCAACCTCTTGCTAACACTGGGCAGTGTTCCCAGGGACAAAACAACGCGGGTGTAACAGCTACAGCACCGTGAGAAGGCAGGAAACGTCCGCAAGGGCTCGAGCACGTGTCCTCAGGACACTGGGAGGTGATCCATAAAGCTTTTTTCCCCTGGGCCTTCTCCAAGGCTATAGTCTGCCTGTACCTGAACGGTGCTTCCTTCCGAAATCTCTCCCTGAACCGGCGCTGCTCAGCATCAAACGCCGCGCAGCTCTTGCGCAGCACCGTCATTTCGTTCGCCTGCAGAGGAGCCACGTGCTGCCTCACAGCCAGCGCCAGCTTCTTGACATTGTTCCATTTCTCTGGCAGCTCCTGCAAGCCAAATTTCAATGCTGGTAGGCAGAATTTGATACTTGGTATAAGAGGCATCTCATCTCTTTATGGATAATCACAGAACAGGAAAAGCAACAGTTTCCCTGTCTAAAGCTGCACGGGAGTTTTCTTGAGATGCGAAGGCTGAACACACAATTTGGAATAAAACTTACCACTTAGTCACAATTTTGGAACTAATGAAGACTGAGACCTTACAACTGACTGCTCTGATTATCAAAATATGTTCAGGAACTTCAGAAGAAGGGTCCCAGACTAGGTCCTGGCCTCCCAGGATGGTTCAACGCTCCAGAGAGAACAGTAACCCTAACACCAAGTGGGTCCTGGAGGCGGCTGGGAGTGGCTGAAGGCAAGAGGATGGGCTGTGGACACCAGCTCATCAGATCATCTGCCTTCCCAGAGCTAATTAAGAAACAGAGCCTGGGGATTTTTTTGACAGCTCTTAGAGCAGAAGATGTTATACTGGAAGGACTTCTACAAATCTCTCCGGGGCAAACCCCTCCAGCTTGTGTATACAATGTTGGTGCTGAAGAAGACTGGGCTCTTTCTCAGGTCTGCATCCAAGCTGCAAGTGCACAGCACTGCTGACAACCCACCCTCTGTACCTGGGACTCTCTTCAGAAAGGGATTTTCTTGCTTCTCACTAGGTTTCTTGGGTCATATTCTCCACCCAGACACTGACACCAGCCAAGGGCTCTGCTGTCCTCAGGTCCCAGTGCTCTGCCCTCAGAACGCCCATTTCCCCACATCGTGTGCAAGCCCACAGGAAAGACTTTGACTTTCTTTTCAGTCTAGTTCACGTAGTTGAGACTAACGGAGACCCACCAACATTATGGAAAGAAGGGAAATAACCTGGAGGCAGTTCTGAGGCAGCAGAGATGGTGAGAGCAGGGCCAGTCCCTCCTGAGGGGTCTCTTTCTCACACTCTACATTCCAGTCCCAACAGAAACCACTATCCATGAGCTTCACAACCACAGCAGGGCACACGTGAAGCTGCTCCCTTGTCTTTCTCGTCCAAACTACCAACTTCAGCCCATCCATCACCATGGCCATGGAGGGAGTGGTTCCTAGAGGAACTTACTTCTGGTTTTCCCACCATATACAGGAGTGAATAAATCATTTAACTACGTGTTGCTGTCACTTGCCAGAAAGAGGAAAAGCGGTTTGTTATCTCCTGCATCTGGATGGCCGCCCTGTATCTCTCATTTCTTCTACCAGAAAAATAAACCAGTTGTTTGAATGTACTCACACAAACAGGCACCAAACCAGCAGCTCTGGGGCAGAGGAATTAGCAGTGCCAGGTTTCTCAAGCACCATGTTTTATGCTGGACTGAAGCTGCTGAGGCAGCCAGAGCATCCATAAAATGCAGCTGTCCTGGTTTTCAGGGAGTCTGTAGGAACCCAGGTGTCTTTATGACCCTTAAGTATTCCAGACTTGGTGACCCAACCACCCACAGATCATGGCTGCACAAGCAGAAAACCAGGGGATTGCTGAGCCCCACTCAGCTCCCATCCAAGCTTCCAGCAGAGAACTGGAGTCATTGCTGCACAGGTGCATAATGGAGGAACATCTCCCCAGAAGGTTCTGCTTTAAATCTGGTGTCCTACACAGACCCCCTCTGCCCACAGCATCCCATGACTACAGGGTATCCATCAGCACGTAGCCACATGCTTCTCCACTGCAACGTCTTGGCTGTTGCTAGTGCTTGTCTCCTGTTCCTCAAGACCGACTGGGAACCTCGCAGTCTTTTCTAACCTCCATCTCATGGTCCTCTCCTCAGAAACAAAAGGAATTCCCAAAAAAACCTGATTCATCAGACCCAGATGTGGAAAGGTGCCAAAATACTTTCATAAACTGCTCCCAGTGAGGTCCTCTGGGTCAAGCAGATTTGCTGTTACAGACTCAATGAAGGACTGAAGTCCTATGAGAAGACAACTCCTCTGCCAACATTATCCTTCCCATCTCCACAGTTGCCAAGAACTGGCTTATTTAAAAATAATTGTAATTCAACCTAATTAACAGATGTATTTGAAAATGCATTAATTTTTTTCAAGAGTAATCACTGGGAGCTGGAGGAGGCAATTCTGTGGTTTTCACACACAACAAAAGCCTTAAAAATCTCTGCTTTAAAAGAGAAATCTCAATATAACTCCAAAACGTAGAGCTATCAAGGCTCATCCCACAATAACCAAACACTATCCACTGAGGCCCTCTAATGACAGGGAGCAGGGTCGTAAACATTCCTGCGACGCTCTGAAGCTCACGCTCTCTTTGATATCTACTCCTCAACTAACTGGTGTGTCCAGCATAAGCTTTCACCCACCTCCAGTTGCTTATGGACTTCCTCTGGCAGCTGTTGCTCGTACATCCTCAGCAGCTCCATGGTTTGCTTCAGGGGCTCAAACATGGCATCGGTGACACTTTGCCTTTCTTTAACAGCCAGGAGATGACCCATAACCTCCACCAAGCCATCATAATCGCCTTTTTCAACCTTCTTGCTCAAACCTTTATTGGAGGTTTTTATGAACTCGTCGAGGTCAGCCAAGCTACAGAGCACAAAGCAGGACAGCAGAAAATGAGAGCAGGAGTTATCAGCCACACACCACGCAGCTGGACTGGCACGGGCAGGGGAAAGGTCTGGCTAACCCTGTCCAGAACACTGCATGGCAACATGCTGAGGGCATCACAACCACAACTCCTGCTCAAAGGGATCCCCAGATGTGGTACAGCTTCCTGCAAAGAACAGATAAATAGGTGGGGACTTCTCAGGTTGGAGAAAAGGTATCTGAGAAGGAGTGAAACAGAGACCTGTGAGCTCAGGAGTGGTCTGGAGAGAGTGAGTTTGAAAGGACAGTTTTCATCTTGTCTCTTCAGCACTGTGCCCTCGTGGCCAGGAAGGCCAATGGCATCCTGGGGGGCATTAGAAGGGGTGTGGTCAGTAGGTCGAGAGAGGTTCTCCTCCCCCTCTACTCTGCCCTGCTGAGGCCACATCTGGAATATTGTGTCCAGTTCTGGGCTCCTCAGTTCAAGAGGGACAGGAGACTGCTGGAGAGTCCAGTGGAGGCCACAGAGATGATGAGGGGTTAGAGCATCTCCTGTGTGAGGAAAGGCTGAGAGAGCTGGGACTGTTCAGCCTGGAGAAGAGCAGCCTGAGAGGGGAGCTGATCAATGTGTATAAATATCTGAAATGTGGGGACCAAATGGATGGGGCCGGGCTCTTCTCAGTGGTGCCCAGTGACAGGACAAGGGGCAATGGGCACAAACTGGGACACTGGGAGTTCATCACAAACTGAAGGAAAAGCTTCTTTCCTGTGAGGGTGTTGGAGCCCTGGGACAGGCTGCCCAGAGAGGGTGTGGAGTCTCCATCTCTGGAGATGTTCAAACCCACCTGGACACTTTCCTGTGCAACCTGATGTAGGGAACCTGCTCTGGCAGGGGGGTTGGACTGGATGATCTCCTGAGGTCCCTTCCAACCCCACCATGCTGTGATTCTGTGATCTAATGAAGACTAAACTGCTGAGCCAGGGACTCTCAATAAGATCTCCTAAATGCCTGTTCTAAGCTACACAAAAACTTATCTAACGCAATTATGGTGCTGAAAGGAACATGAGATCACAGCACCCACCACACACAGACACCTTCACTACTACACACGTCTGTAAATACTTCTTTGTAAGCATCCAAGACCTACGACATCCTCCAGTTGCCACTACTCCAATAAATCAGCTGATGCATCACACCTTGCACAGACCTGGTGCCTGAGGAGCTATTCAGAGCAGGGAACACACGTTCATTCACAACCTACACCCAAAGCTTTTTTTTGTAACCTTGAAACTACCTCCCCGTGACTGCTCATGCCAGGCAACCCCTATTACTTTTTTATCCAGACAGAGTGCACTCGAAAGAGCAACGTGTTTGGAAATAGAACATAATCTCTATGCCATAATCTCATGGCCTTAATGCAGCTTTACTTTAGATTTGGCTGATATCAAATCCGACAAAGCAAGCGCAGAGCCCTAGCAGAGCTTAACGACTTGGATCAGGATGAATGGACAAACAGACGTCCATCCTATCTCACACCACACAGCAGGTCCCAGGAGCATCAGCTCGTGGGATGTAATGGTACCAAGCCCATATAACTGCTTCCACTTCACACACTCTGCCACACCAGCTGGCAGCAGATGGGATGGAAGGGGATGGAAGATGAAGGGGATGTGGTGGAGCTGGCATGCAGCACGGGCCCCCTTCTCCTGCTCCTGTATTAGCTTGTTTGTTATCACTGTGAAATATATTCATCAATGCCCTGGATGAGGGAG